CCAAACCCACTGAATCTGATGTGACTGATTTACTGCCCTGAGCGGTGGTTCCTTTCTATCAGGTCCCTTCCTAGCTGACACATTTATCAATTCTTTTCTGAGAGTGAAGAGAGGGGAAGATAGTGACTTATGATGAAAATATAGCCAGGAGATAGAGTCTCCTCCAGATAATTTTTTTTTTTATTGTACTTCATGAGAAAATATACATCTTAAGTTGGAGAGTGATTCACCTGACTAAAAACATATTACAACTCTTTATTAAAATCAAATATTCATTAGCTTTTAAAAATTAAACAAAACTCTCCTGTTAACTTTAATTTTTTTTTAAAATATATATCTTTATTGATTTCAGAGAGGTAGGGAGAGGGAGAGAGATAGAAACATCAATGATGAGAGAGAATCACTGATTGGCTGCCTCCTGCACATCCCCTAATGGGGATCAAGCCCACAACCCAGGCATGTGCCCTGGACTGGAGTCAAACCTGGGACTCTTCAGTCCGCAGGCTGACGCCCTATCCACTGAGCCACACCAGTGAGGGCTTAAAAAAATTTTTTTTAAAATTGATTTGAGAGAGAGGGAAAAGAAGAGGGAGAAAATGAGGGAGACACATCCATCAGTGGTCTCCTGCATTCACCCCAACCAAGGACTGAAACCACACCTGGGGCATGTGCCCCGCCTGGGAAAGGAACCCCCAGCCTTTCGGCTCAACCAACCTCAGGCTATTTGGCTGTAAAATGAAAGGTGGGGGTCAAATGTTCCTGCTTTTCAGTAGATCATAAAAATGAATTATCAGGTTTTAAAATGTGTGGAAGCCAGGCTGGTGTGGTTCAGTGGTTAAGCTTCAACCCATGAACCAGATCACAGTTGGATTCCCAGTCAGGGCACATCCCTGGTTGCAGGCTCGATCCCCAGCAGGGGGCGTGCAGGAGGCAGTCTCTCTCACCCATTGATGTCTCTAACTCCCTCTCCCCTTCTCTCTCTGAAATCAATAAAAACGTATTAAATAATATAGAAATTGCCCTTTTAAAAAATGTGGGGGGATAATGGCTTAAGTTGAGATCATGAGGCTGTTGATACATTTCCTTCCTGCTTCAGTGAGTCAGAGCTATGTCCTCCAAACCAGGACGAAGCACCTTTTTCCCTTGGATTCCTAGTACTTCCCTGGAGTTTCGTTTACAGCACTTGGCACTTTCTACCTGTATTACAGCTCTGTGTGTATCTGTCTGAATCCTTGACTGTAAATACCTGTGGGTAGGGCCTGATTCACCAGCCGTCTTTGTAGCCAGCACGCTTTCCCGTTTTAGACCTTCAATGAGTGGCTGCTGAATGCAAGGATACCTGAGAGTCTGAGTCAGCAGTACTGGTTTCTCTCCTGATGTTGGCAACCGCGTCTGCTGCTGAGCACAGCAAGCACCGCAGACAGGATGCATACCTTCATGGAAATCAAATCCCACTCCAAACAGGAGGAATTATTTTTTAATGTATTTTCATTGATTTCAGAGAGGAAGAGAGAGGGAGAGATAGAAACATCAATGATCAGCTGCCTCCTGCACGCCCCCTATTGGGGATCAAACCCATAACCTGGGCATGTGCCCTTGACCAGAATCAAACCCGGAACCCTTCAGTCCGCAGGCTGAGGCTCTATCCACTGAGCCAAAGTGGCTAGGGCTACACTTTACTTTTTTATTGTTTAAAAGTACGTTTGATTTTTAGAGAGAGGAAGGGAGAGGGAAAGAGAAACATCAGTTGGCTGCCTACTGCACACCCCCTACTGGGATCTAGCCCCCAACCCGGTGCCCTGACCTGGAATCTAACCAAGCACTGGCCAGGGCTATCATTGTTCCCTTTTTTTTTTTTTTTTTTTTTTAAAGAATTATATATTCATTAGATCATCTGGAAACCAGAAGGGCTGAGCCCTAAAATGAACAGGCCAGAGTGGGGGGAGCGGGACATACCAGTATGTGTCTCCTGCGCAGGTGGTGGGCAGGAGGCTGGGCATAGGCCGCCCACTGAAAGCTAAGTGGTGAGAGAGTTAACTGTACACGGAAAGCCTTTAACCATGTCCTGAGGAAAGCTGTAATGAGAGTAAGAGGAAAACCTGTGTGTGTGTGTGTGGGGGGGGATTGGGGGGCGGGTGTGAGTGCCTCAGGCAGGGCATGAGGGAGCATGAGAAAGGTAGAGAATGTGCCTAACATTCCAACCTTTTGTTTCCCCTGAAAGCTGGGGGTCTAACCTTTGCCTCCTCAAGGATTTTTGGCTCTGAATTCTCTCTCTCTCTCTCTCTCTCTCTCTCTCTCTCTCTCTCTCTCTCTTTTTTAAATATATTTTATTGATTTTTTTTTTACAGAGAGGAAGAGAGGGATAGAGAGTTAGAAACATCGATGAGAGAGAAACATTGATCAGCTGCCTCCTGCACACCTCCTACTGGGGATGTGCCCGCAACCCAGATACATGCCCTTGACCGGAATTGAACCCGGGACCTTTCAGTCCGCAGGCCAACGCTCTATCCACTGAGCCAAACCGGTTTCGGCTGGCATTGAATTCTCTCAGAGAAAAAGGCTTGTCGGTTCTCTCCTGCAGCTGCTTCCTGCTGGAAGGGGTGACATTTTTCTCCAAAGCCCAAATCCTTGCTTCAGAGAAGGAGGTTGTGATGGTGTCCAGGGTGGTATTTCCTGAGTACAAGCAGGGCTTGTAACCTGGTGGAGACCAATGTATAAGCTTTAGTATTATTGGGACAAGAACTAGAACAACAAGAATTATGGCAAATGGTCTGGTGGAAGGAGAGACATTAGTCTGAAGAGCTGTAGCCACATACACCCACATGAAATCGGTGTCACCAGGAGCCCAGATTCTGGCAGACAGAGAATCCCTCTCTGGGACAGCAGATAACATGCAGTCATTTTGTTCACTAATCCCTTACATACCTAGCTGTCAGGTTACTGTTTTAAGCAAATACCAAAAAGAATCTCTTTTTATTCTGGAAACCAATCTTTAAGATTGTGGCTTAGTTAACTATCCAATACAGTTTATTCTTCATATGTGGCAAAATCAGCAATTACATGATACTGTTGACGCTCAACTCAGAATTGTGTAAGTTAAATGTACAGCCCTAATTGGCTTGGCTCAGTGGATAGAGCGTTGGCCTGCTGACTTAAGAGTCCCAGGTTCGATTCTGGTCAAGGGCATGTACCTTGGTTGCAGGCACATCCCCGGGGTGTATGTGTGTGTGTGTGTGGGAGGCAGCTGGTTGATGTTTCTAACTCTCTATCCCTCTCCCTTCCACTCTGTAAAAAAATCAATAAAATATATATTTTTTAAAAGTTAAATGTATAAACTTCCGGTTGTAAGACACGTCCTGGGATGTGATGTGCAGCATGGGGACTATAGTTAACAAAATTTTATATTTGAAAGTTGCTAAGAGAATAATTCTTAAATGCTCTGTCACAAGAAAATAGTGTGGTGATGGATGATAACTATATCATAGTAATCATTTCACAACATACATATATATCAAATCATATTAAAATATGATATGTCAATTATGTCCCAATTAAAAAAAAAAGTGTTCTTGTCTAGCTGAGGATGGTTTCTTTGCATTGACTCCAGAGGTCTTCCTTGTATACGTATACCCACTTCAAAGTTTCCTGGGAATCACCTGTTACCGGGGAGACGAGGAGACCGGGACACCTTGGTTCTGGTCTCCTTGAGGGAAAGGTTTCAATGAAGAGACAACGTGTAGAAAAGCAAGCAAGGATTTATTGACCACAGCAGCCACGTACCTAGGACAATGGACAAGGACCGGTATAGAAGCAGCAGGAGAGCCTCGGCTGGGCTGCTGGGAAGTCAGAGAAAAGGAGCCTTCGAGGCAAATCCAGGGGCTTATTCCGGGAGGAGCTGCCGCTGCCCATTGCTCCCCTGGTTGCAAGTCTCAAGGGGTCCCTTAGAGATTAAGTGGGTGCGTGAGGGGGGAGGGAAGGGCGCTGGCGTGCTGCCGGGAGGGAGAGCCCCCTGGAGCAATCACTTTCAGGGGGTTTAAAGGCTGGGTGTTTGGGGGAGACTAAGGGAGGGTCAGCTTTACGCTGATGTAGCAAAACGAGATTCTCTCTTCATCTGTCTGTCCTTGGGGGTGGGTGGCAAATGCCACTTAATTGGATTCTGTTATCCGTGCCCCAGAGTAGGGCGGTTGGAGCCATGTGCCCTCTGGCTGGGGAGGACCGGCGCAGTGTCCTTGATGTCGGGAGGACAGGAGTTACCAGGCGGCTGCAAACTGCTGCTTACGTCGATTCCCTATTCCGCGTGCATCACGCCTTACACTGCCGGCACTCTGGAACACACTTAGAAAGAAGCCCCGCCAGAAACCCTCCCTCTGCAGGAACACCAGTGGGAGGCTTGGTGCCCGAGCTCCCCTCCAAACGGGCTTTCTTTGCAGACCTGGGAGGGCGGAGATGCGTTTTGGGAACGAGCGCAGGAGGAGATGCTGTCCGATGCCTTTACCTTCTCCTGGGAGGCGGGAGGCATCGGTGCGCCGACGCGGAAAGGCCAGCGCCCGGGAACCGGGGAGGCGCCGGGAGGCCGGGCCGCGGCTGGGAGGCCCCTCCGGACCCACCTCCCCCCCCCACCCCCCGCCCCCCCCACCCCCCCCACCCCCCGCCCCCCCCCGGCGCCGCGGACGCCCCGCCTCGCGGCCTCAACCGCCCCCACCCCCGCCCCCGCCCGCCAGCGCGGCCCTCGCGGGAGCCTACCTGCGCCCGGCGCGCCGCCGTCACCCCGCGCGTCGCCATGGCACCGCGCCGCCCCGCGCCCCGCCCCCGCCCGCCGGCAGCGCGCCCCGCCCCGCCCCCGCCCGGCCCGCGCGGGAGGGCTGCGCGGAGGCGGGCGCAGGCGCAGGCGAGAGGAAATCGGCGGCGCGACGCCCGCGCCCTATTGGCTGCCTCCCCGTGGGGCCAGAAGCCCCGCCCCTCTGGCGGGGTCACGTGACCCCTTTCAAAGATGGCCGCCCTGTTGTTTTGATGAATAATACTTGGTGGGGCGCGGGGGTGAGAGTAGGGGCGGCGGGCTAGCGGGGTTGACGCTCTCGGCAGCAGCATCGCGAGCCCCGTCCTCCTCCTCCTCCCGCGGCCCGGCTCCGGCGCGGAGGCGGGGCGTGGCCGGCCTGCTCGGGGCGGGAGGGAGGGGCTTCCCCTCCGCTGCTGGCGCTGCCTGGGCGGCTCTGGGGGTCGCCCGCCCTCGGGGCGTCCACTCTGCAGTCGAACAGTCCCCCGCGAGGAGGAAGGGTACGGGGGGAAGCGGGATCTGGAGGAAGCACGGCTGCTGCCACGCTGCCACCGCCACCGCCACGAAGACACACCGGGCTCGGGGCACGCGGCGCGGCGGGGACGGAGCTCCCGGCCTGGGCAGCCTGGGCGGCGGGGAGGCGGCGGCGCCCTAAGGTATCCCGCCCCGCGGCCGCAGCGGTGGCGGCCCGAGGAGGCCGTGCTCGGGGCACCGGCGGCTGGAGGCGTCTCCGGGGCGATCGGAGGGACTGACGCCAGGGCAGTTCCGTGCCTCGTGTGTTCTCGTTTGTTCACCTCTGACTATGCAATTCTGAGACCTCCCCCGTTCGGGGGCCCAGACAGCCCGACGGACACCTTCCACTCTCCTCCCGCCCCGATCTAAAAAAACCCCACAAAACCCCAGCAGGATCTCTCCCTGAACGCCTTTCACCATTAAGAGGAAAGCGATGGAGGAGCTGAGCGCTGATGAGGTGAGGAGGTGGGGGGACGCCTTGGGAGATCAGTTGGCAACTCCCGGGCGCCTTTGGGGAGGGGCGGGAATGCGCCAGAGGCGAGGGGGTCGAGGTGACGTTTTCCAGGAACGAAACGAGCCCCCGAGAGAGGGTCTCCGGTTGTGTGCTCCTGGGTCCCTTTGCCTTCTTCCTTCGTGCTGGACTCCATTTGCTTCTTTTCGAGTCTTCTTTGAAGGGCCTGCCTGTCGAGGCGTTTTTATTCTTTTTCTTCGGGGGATGGAAGCAACAAGGGCTTAGATTCCCATCAAGTTCAATGTGTGTGCGCCCGCGCGTGCGCTCGCGCCGTACTGCAGAGATTGAAAGAATCATTTTAGGTGAAATCGGAGTGTATGCATTTTTTTAAAGGGAAGGATTTGAAAACCCAAGTATGGATGGCTATTTCATTGTGTAAGTTGATGAAGCACGCGTTTGTGTGTGGGGTGGTGGGGTGGTGGTGGCCTGCAGACAGATTATTTGATATTTTTTTTAAAAAATGTGTATTCTCCATAATTAGTGAATTCCAGCCAAATCCTAGTAATGTAACAGGCCGCTTATGACACACTTCTCTCTAATCCAGCCTTTTTCTAGTTTTTGTCGCTTTCAAACTTGGCTTTGCTGTAGCAGACGCGGAACAACAAGCCACTGGGAGCAAATGGCTTTGTAAGCTGCCCCTGTGATGATTTTGAAGGGGATCCTACAGATTCCTTCCCTGGTGTTTTAGAGATTATTTAACACGATTGTCATAAAAGCAGGGGCAGTTAGGGTACTAGGAATTTTCATGCGATTCTACTGATTTCTCCCTTTTCACAAATTGGAGCTTCCTTCCCAGGACCCCTGCTGGCCTCACTCTCTTCCATCTACCTCGTTTCTTCCACTGGTTCATACAGAACTTCCCCAGAGTATTGGGAAAGTAGCCATCCATCCTGTTGGTTGTACTCTTAACACTCCTATGCTTCAGTGTTAGCTACAGAGTGTCAGCGTCCAGGGTGGAGCAAAAGGAGGTTTACAGCTTTGAGTACAGAAAACACAGTTTATTTCTGTATTGTTATTTGTTAAATATTGTCTTATTTTCCATATGAACCTGTAAGCCTCCTCTTACTCCACCCTGTATTTACTTTGTAACGAAAATCCTCTAGGGATGGGGCATGCAAGTGGTGGGTTAAGGGTCAGGTAGGAAAGGAAGCAAATAATTTTGTTGATCGCGATACGTTTTTGCAAAGTCAGGATTGCCCTTTCCGTGTTACTGACCCTCGGTTCTCAAATACATCAGGAACGTGATCTTAAATGAGAAAACTGTTGAACAGTTTCTTTTGTTCAGGCAGGAGCTATGAGTTACCCTTAGAGGCACTTGGTTTTAGGTAGTTTTTAAGTGTCCTCCTCCTTTTTTTCTCTTTACTATTAATTCTAATGGTAGTTTCTCTGAAGACAATCTGTGTCTTTTGAAAGTCCTTTACTTTTTTTCCCCCTTGACATTCTCTAAGTTGTCTCTGGTTTACAAGTTTTTACATACTTGAGTTTTCACCAAGCAATTGTTTTCAAACCTATAAAGCACATGTGTCAAACACAAGGCCCGCGGGCCAAATCCATCCCGCCAGGCCTTGCAATGTGGCCCGCACCGCGCTGTCATCACTGCACTCCGCTGCGTTTCCATCACAATGACAGTTTATGACTGTTCAGTAAACCATTCGGCCCGCGATTTAGGCTGGATTTTAGATTTTGGCCCCTTCTCTGATTGAGTTCGACACCCCTACTATAAAGCATACAGACCAGTTAAAGACTCTGTATATTTGAACTGTGGCTCTTCGCTTTATCCAGTCCTTGAGGAAGGTCTAAGTTTTTTGTGTCCATATAAGGACAAATGTAGTGGTAGTGGACGAGATAGAAAAACATCTATCAAGATCAATAGAATATTAAACTCATGCGAACATCTTAATTCACGAATATAAGATCAATATAAAATGATGTTCAGCAAATGAGTTGTCCTGAACACAAAGGGGTAGTCAAATACCTGGTAATTTTACCCTCAGCAGACCTAGAACAATTTATTTTTGAAAAAATCTTTTTAAGGTGTGTTTCTCTCCCCCCCCCCCCCCCCCCCCTTAAATCCATTTCCTTTAATTCTGGGATTAGGTGAGCAGTTGTCAACAGATATTTCCAAAGCTTTTGCCTTTGCATTGTGACTCTATTGGTGGGAACTTTTGTCGCAGACAGGGTAGGTGGCATTCATTTTAGTTAGAAAATAATACACTTATGTTACTAAAAACTCAAATATATATCTCAGGGTGAAATCAAGCAAGACAGTGACCTTTCAGTTTAAAATAGGGAGTCAGGCAAGGCAGAGTTTCATCTTTTTATAACAAAGTGAAAATGTCTGAGGATATCATCCACGAAAAATAGAGCCTGTTCTAACCACACGGGTAGCTCTAGAAGATTTTACATCCTGGCACTTTTTGGTCTCTCCTAGATCACCTTGAGTTCCTGTACTTTTCTTCTCTTGTGCTTTCTAAGCAGAGTACTGCCTTAACTTCATCGATGCTCTTTCTATGTATAGCGCAGGGAATTCATTGCTCTGCAGCGCAGATCCGTGACTCAGTTCATCCGGCTCATGCGCCTACATTCCAAAGGGTCATTATTTACATTACACTCGTTCTGCGCCTGCTCAGGTGCTGTTTTCTATACCAGACTGGAGCTGTGAGTAGGGCAGGTATTTTAAACTGTGGGGATGAGATTGCATTGAGATGATTCACTTTTTTTTTCTTTTTCTTTTGTTAAATCTTTATGACCTGGTTCATCTTCAAGATGGCTGGCTGGGGTTTAGGGTGTGGTCAAAGTTGAAGAGGAGTGTGAAGTCTTCCCTCTCAAATGTAGAATATGAGCCTGTTAATGTAAAAATATTCAAGCCCGCAAAGAATTTTTGTGGGTTTATTTGAGCTAAATTGTCAACAATTGCTGGGAAGCAGAATCTCAATAGATTGGGATAATGCTCTGGAGAATGGCGTGTTTTGTTTTTTGGTGTGTTTTTTTTTTTAACCTAATTTTATACTTTTCAATCAAAGGAGGAAACATAGGTGGGTTACAGGAAATCTATTGGTGATAGATTAGAGAGGTGGGAGAAAGCAAAGAGGGTAAACCTCTGGGATTGGATAAAAAGTAAAATGATAGACACATTACTTAGCTGGGTACAGGACAGTTAACAGTCAATAATTAACATGATAACGACAACAAGGAAGGAATTTGTGGTATCCGTCCTGGCACCCAAAATCATTTGGTTGTACCCTGAGGGGTCCAGAAAAAAAGGGAAATTACAAGTTACCTTGACATTTCAATGATATGTTATTGTAGAGGCAAAAAGACGGTAAGCTCAATCCAGGTAAAAATTGACCTTGTCAGGGAAGATACTGGCCTAGAAGGTGACTACCCACCATAACTGCCCTTAATTAAAGTTTAATTTCAGACCATCCTTTGTGGTCACGCTAGGTCCTTGGGTTTGCAAGACCGCCATGCAGGCCTTCCCTGAGCTTGTCAGGGTAGCTTGTGGCCCCTTTCGTCCACAGGACCTTGACTTTTTAGTCACACTAAGTGGAACAGGACTGACATTAAAAAGAAAAAGAAAAAGAAAAAAATATATATATATTGATCGATTTCAGAGAGGAAGGGAGAGGGAAGAGAGAGAAACAATGATGTGAGAGAATCATTGATCAGCTGCCTCTTGCACTCCCCCTGCTAGGGATGGAGTTCACAACCTAGGCATGTGCCCTTGTCTGAAATCGAACCCATGACCCTTCATTCCGCAGGTTGACACTCTGTCCACTGAGCCAAAACAGCTAGGGTTAGGGACTGATACTTAAAAAATACCTCTATTGTTGCAAGTATTACACTGACTTCTTTCTAGCCCACCCCAGGCCTTCACCACCCTATTGTCTGTGTCCATGGGTTATGCATTTACACATAAAGTTCTTTAGTTGATCTCTTCCCAGGCCTTCCTCGGAGATTCGACATTCAGGAACTGACATTTGTTAACAGCTTAGAGGCCTGCTCTGTGCCAGCCTCTTTGCCACCATTGTCTCATTTGATAAAGACTACAATCAAGGAGGTCCTTCACTTTCCCTTATTTTATTGGTGTGGCAATGGAGGTTTAGATTAAATAATTTGTCCATAGTGACCCGGTTTAGAGTTGGAGTTCAAACCCAGGGTTCCTAATCTAAAAGCTCTTTTTATTACATTTTATTGCTTAACAACTGGCTATAAATACATCACAACTTCCATATAAACTAGAGGCCCGCTGTACGAAATTCATGCACGGGTAGGGTCCCAACACCTGTCCAGCGATCAGGGCCAATCTGTGGGGCGACCAGCAGGGCCCCCACTGGCACCTGCCTTGGCCAGCCTGGTGCCGCCTACTTGCCTCTGTGGGGAGGCTAGTGGGACAATTGGGGGGGCCCTGCTGGTACCTGCCTTGGCTGGTCTGGGGTCTGCGGGCTGGGGGCAGCTCCTGAGTTGAGCGTCTGCCCCCTGGTGGTCAGTGCGTGTCATAGTGACCAGTCATTCCACCGTTTGGTTGATTCACATATTAGGCTTTTATTATAAAGTATATCCTAACATGCATGATCTGCCCAGTTTTTCTATAGAATGCATGATACAATCCAATTTAATAGTCTTGTACTGACTTTAATCACGCCCCTCCAGAATTGTTCATTCAACAAACATTTTTTAAAAAGATGCTGTGGGCCCTAACTGGTTTGGCTTAGTGGATAGAGCATTGGCCTGCGGACTGAAGAGTCCCAGGTTTGATTCTGGTCAAGGGCATGTACAATACCTTGGTTGTGGGTACATACTCAGTAGGAGGTGTACAGGAGGCAGCTGGTCGATGTTTCTCTCTCATCGATGTTTCTAGCTCTCTATCCCTCTCTCTTCCTCTCTGTAAAAAATCAATTAAAAAAAAAATATATATTTTAAAGATGCTGTGGCCTGGCCAGCGT